CCTTTGCCTGCGCGCTTGCGCCTTTGGTCCTCCCGATGCGCTTCCAGCTTCTGCGCACTCACTGACCCTCTGCTCGCTTCAGACAAAGGCGGGTGGTTTGAAGGCCACAGCTCCGGCGTTGGATCCAATTCCTCCACCGCCTTAGTGGGCGAAGGCAAATAGCAATACGCAATGCACCCTGCATACCCGTCTGTTTTTTCAGACCAATGGCTGGCTAACCCGTGCGCAGCCAGCAAATGGCGCTTCAGGGGTGCGAAGCGAAAACACTTGTCAGCTGACAGGGCAACGTGATAGTGAATTTGTCCCGTCGCATGGCGCTCCTGAAACACAGCCATGCTTGTACAAGCAAGAGGCTGGTCTCTGTTTGCTTGTGTGGAGAGAAGGGCGCCCAAGAAAAAGTCTCTGACCTCCATGCGCGTGTAACTGCCTGGAGGTACCAACTTCTGCCCGTCAGCGCCCTCTTCTTTGTCTGTGTGTGACAAAGTGACCAAGTAAGCCCTCCTCGGGTTCTTTGACTCCACACCAAGCTCTTCGCAACAGCTTGACGGCTGGCTTGATTTCTTGGCGTCAAGAGGCGCCACGACTTCTTGAATCAAGATATTGATTTCATCTTTCCGTGCCTCCAATCCATCCCGTTCCAACCCGCAGGCAGCTGCGATTTTAGCTCTGCACTCTTTGACGCTGCATTGGTGGAGGTCAAGGTTGTTCACCAATTGCGTCGCTACCTGCCGCAAGGTGTCGGCATCGGGAGATATGGAACTAGCAGCATCTTCTGGCCGGGCCGCTTCTGGCAATGGTGGACCATCCATGCGCTGCGCGCTGCAGCTGCAACTAGGATGCTACTGCTAAACCCTGTCACTTGCACGCCCGCTTTGAGACCAGAAAACCGAAGAAGCCCTGCTGGGTCCGCTGCAAAAACAAAAGACATCCGAGCACCGAAGTTCCCCGTCCACGGACAAGCGCCGAGCCTTTGAGAGAGTTATTCTGCTTCAAAAATAAAGCCGTACCTCAGCGTAGAACTTGCAGTATCACATTCGCATACTCGTGCTCAGGAGCCCATTTCACACATCAGGCGCACAATCTCTAGAAGTGTGAAAGTAAAACCTATCGAGACACCCAAGAACATCTCTGTACGTGGCAACAAACACAGCAGAAACAAAACTTCCTATTGCGCTGCTTTGCAAGCTGCCAGCTGGTAATTTTTCCAAACAGTTTACTGTTTGGGTTTCTATCTTAAAAAAGAGCTGGCCACACTGACTGGCCGCGCCCCTGAATTTTGTGGCTGGGCTCTGTGACCGGGCCTTGTCCTCCTCTTGTCCTGCTCTTCTCTTGTCTTCTCTTACGGCCAAACAATTTGCCGGCGTACATCATATCATATCAGTTTTGTGGACCTTTGAACGTTGGTGGACACGCGTGAAGCGCGCTGTCTCCAACCGAGCTTCCGGCTGCGCCCAACAATTCGCGCCGACAAAAAGCCACAACAAACTTCACACGTCTAAGATGTCAACTAGAGTCACTCAAACTCTACCCATCCAGAAAAATGTCCGCCAGTCAACATTGCTAAGTTGGGGTTGAAGGGGAAGCTTGTAACAGCTTGTGACCTGAGAAAGTTCGGTCTGCGGGGAGGTTTCAGATAACATGTCCGCTGGGTAACTGTTCAATGCAGTTTGAGGTCAGGACCTTCCTGTAACCCACGTAGACCTGGCAAGGAGACCACACGCTCACCAGCGGCACACCAAACCCAGGTGAAGCTCTCTAGGATGGTACCCAAAATCGACAAAATCTTGAGCCCAAAGTGGCAAAGCATTTTGGCTAGTGAAATGTATTAAGAAAACATAACCTGCTTTCCACAGGTTCCAAGCACGCACCAATTAAAGTGTACAATTTTGCTCTATCTAAGAAACAAGCTGGCTTAGACAGCGCCTGAGCTTTGCTGGCTGAGACAGCGCCTGAGCGCACGCTCGCCCCGCTGTGGCTGTGGCGCCCAACAACTCTCCCCAACCAAAGGGCCAGAAAACTCCTCTCAAGTACGAGCCAGTGGACGCGCGTTCAGCGTGAGTTTGCAGTCATATATACTCCCTTGAAAGGGACACCGACTAAACTGAACCAAATCCCTCTGTCGACACATCAAACGCACAATGTCAAGAAGTCTAGAAATGAGGCGCTGTTCTCCGCAAGGTACGCTCGAGTGCAACGCGCAGTGCAACCCACCACGCAACGCTGTAATTTACAGCGTTGCGTGGTCGTGGACAGGAAAAACCATTGACCTTTTTGAAAGGGCAGCTGACAAGTTTCTGAAACAGCAAAATCTCACGTAAATAGCAGCGTTGCGTGGTGTGTTGCACTGTGCGTTGCACTGTGTCTACACGGCGTTGCGCTCTTTTTTGCACTGTTGCACTGGGCAAGAAGCTGGGCAGGGAGGGTTTTGCGCAGCCCCGTTTTTGAGCCTGCAAACACATACGTGAAACTGCGCCGCACAAAGGTGACCTCCCTGGTTAGTCTATGGTGCGGGGAATTCGAAACACTTTGGAACGCTCAAAAGTAGGGGGCAGAGTCCGCCGCTTTGGCCGAAGTGTCTCACTCTGTCCAAGATCCTCGGCTTGTCCCACACGCTTAGTCCGAGCTTCTTTGGTCTGCCACAAGACATAGGACATTATATCCAGTTTCATTCGCTGGGGGAAAATGGACAATGCATCTGCCGCAGTAGGAGGCACACAAGGTAATTCAACGCCACCATCATCAAAGCCGAACTCAGTGCGTAGCCGCATTGACAGAGCGCGCTGCTTCTCCACAATGCCGTTGGACAGAAATGCGCTGCGCCAGTTTGTTTTGGGTAAAACTTGTTGGATTGCGTCTACCACTACCTGCATCCAAGATGCAGTCGACACGACACCACCAGGCGACAAGGAGCGAGTCCTTTGCCAAGAAACCCGGAAGGCATGTTTGAACTTGGCGAAAAGATGCGTATCACATGGTTGAAGGAAGCTTGTCATCTTCGCCGGGATGTACACCAATCTCACGCCACACCGGCGCGCGTGAACATAGATGCTCTTGTCTATGTGCGACAAATGCGCGTCAAGAAGAAGAATCACATATCTCCTCTTCACAAGCTCTCCAAGGGACTTTGACAAGAGGGACAACCACCTCCTCATTGTCTCGCGCGAGTTCCACGCCGACTGCTGGCGCCACACAACAACGTTTGAAGGAAGGTCCATGGACCGCATCAGGGCAACACTTAGCTGATGCTGGTTTCCAAGGATGACCTGTGGCAAGCGGTCTTGCACAGTCACATCATCTGAGATGCAAGCAAGGTAGGACATGTAAGAGCGGCGGTCAGCCAGCGTCGCCCGATCCACTGCAACACTTGCAATTTGAGAAGCTTTTGCCACACAACCACGAAGCCCTGTCACATGACGGACAAGAGCCGTTTCATCCATGTTGATGCAAAGCGGGGGGCGATCAGGTGGAGCCTCTGCGTGAGCCAGGTTCATCCATTGGTAGAAGGCCATCGCCTCAGCGCATACGCCACAAAGCAAACACATTTGGAGCCAAATCTGGGTTCGTGAGACGAACCCAATTTTGGGGCCGCCCTCTTTGATTACATTACGTTAAGGCCTGTCAAGGCACCGTTCCACGACCCCAGAAACGCCCCCCCACCGACCATTCTGACAACAAATGATTGACAATCCGACCAGAAGCAAACCTGTTGTGAAAGAAGTGAGGCAACTGGTCTTTCTTCACAAACCCCAACAACACAAACCTGGCCTTTTGGCGCTTCTCTTCAAAAGGAAGTTGGTCCTGCACCTTCAGCATCCTGTAGCCTATCTGCCATCTCTTCCGAAACCGAGCCAACCACCGGCGCTGCTTCCGTGCAGTACCTTGCACACAACGGCACAAGCGTTCCCGAATTTCTGCAGGAGCGTGAAGGGAAATGCACCCAGGCAGCTCTGCAACAACCTGCGCACGAGAAGGCGCTACACCCTGGCAACAGTTGAGGGTTGATATCCACTCATGCAGTCTGTGCTCCATTATGTATTTGTGGGCACACAAGAGGTCACAAAGCTCGAAGTGGGCGACGGGGTCCAAGTCTAAAGCCACCAGCCCGGACAAAGGTAGAGACGCAAACGCAGATTCAATCTCAGATGTCAACTTGTTCTTCACTTCTGCGTCTCCACCTCCTTCCTTGGCACAGGGTCTCCTGCGACGCCAGCCACGACCCAGCGCAAAGTCAACTGCCACAGGAGAAGAACACCCAGCCAAAACATACACCATCATGCATTTGCGGCTGCTTGCAGGACACCGCCGCCGCGCACTGCTCGTTCTACTCAACTTCGCAGGCCTCCTTTCAAAAGCTTTTCCCTCAGCCCTTTTGCATCGCTTGGCCAAATTACGAATTTGCCGATTCAACTCAGCAAGCTCTTTGCGAGCTGCTTGAGCACGCTCAGCCGCCACATCTCCATTTGCCAGCAAACTGCACATACCAAAGAAGCCTAATTTGAAGAAAAAGAGCTTCAAACAAAGGGATGAGGCTGGTGTGCGTTTTCATGAAACATGTTGCTCCACCTTACGACTGCGCCAAAATCAAGGACTGCCACTTGGGCCAAACCACACTTTCCAATGAAAATGCGAATAACAATGCGGTACCGAGGAGGTCCCGTTTACAGCGGCATGTTTTTTCATAGGTTTTATGGCACCAAAACTGGGGACTCTGATTAAGGTTTTGCGCCCTGAGGCTGTGACTGTGGAAGACCTGAACCAAGCCAACCTGGGCGGGCGTCGTCAACACAGCGACTGCGCTTGAACACTTGCACACTGCATGGCGCGCGTCAGCACGTGCGCAAACACTCGCGCTTTTCTTTCTGTGGGTTCTGTACGGGTTTCTCTGGCGTTCAAGCTGTAAGCCTCGAAAACTAGAGCGCCCTTTCACCTGAGCCTCTGCTGTCGTGGGCTCGTGGCACACTCACTCCGTCAGTCCTACGCCCAAAGCCAAAAGGATTAGTCTAGCGCCCTCTATCTCGCGCAACAATGTCCTGCGCCGGCACCCTCATCACCCTCTTCATCATCACCTGCTGGAGGAGTGAACAAATTTCAAAACCACAGATCTTCAACAGGTCTTGTGCCTCCAACGCTCTCAAACTCCAGGACATCATCATTCTCTCCTTCCACCACACCTGTTCAATATTTGGGCCAACCCATGACCCCACGCCACTTGTTCCCGCTTGTAACCAGAACAGAAAAACATTGGCCTGCAACGTTTTGACCCATCCCAACTGCGGCAGCAGCTCTTGCTCCTGCAGCACTTGGGGACACAGAGGGAAAAGAATGAAAGAGATCTAAGTCACGCACTTGGCTCGTTCACAGGATCGTTCACAGGCCCTGCCAGCAACAAGCTGACGAAGCTTAAGGTACACATATACATCTGACAGCGCCTGCCTGCACCTTCATCCTCACCACCACCCACAGCAACAGCGTGTCCAGCACCCACAACGGGAGCAACAACTGGAGGGGGGACAACAACTGGAGCGAGGCCAACAGGAAGGGCTGCAGCGCCCGCTTGAGGAGCACCTGGAGCCAACATACAAAAAAGAACATGATATCTCAGTGGTCGGATGACACAACCTTGTTGGAGCAACAGGACGAGGTCATCTTGACTCAGCTGCCGCGCTGCCTGCAGCCAGACCCAAAAATTCAAAACAACACACAAAGGAGGAAAAGGCCTGCATCAACCTTTGGCGCCGCTTTTGCAGCAGCTTCTGCTGCTTAGCGAGCTCTTTGTTTTGCGCTTTCAGCACTGCCCGCCGTTGCTGGAGCGCGGCTGCTTCCGCGGACAAGACCTCTGAGGTTGCAAGAACACGCTAACACATGGCGTTTGCCTCCCCACCTCAACCCGCTGACGCTTGGGCGCCATCACACCTGCGTAAAGTCAGGCGATACTGAGTCAAATTTCCTTTGCACGCTTCCTTGCCTGGTTCGCTGGTCACTGCGTCTCGTCTACCACTGAACTGAACCGCAAAACACATCAGAGTATCCAATCACTGCAGAAGTGGAGACGTGCGCCCCACTGCACAAATCGAATGTGTACGAGCGCACAAATCGATATGTGGACCACTGCGCAAATCAACAAGTGTGCCGTCGCACAAATCGAGAAACGCACGAGCGGGCAAATCGAGAAGTGTACCGTCGCACAAACTGAGAAGTGTACCAAGCAAATGTGGCCTCCCCCGCACCCCCTCAATGCAATGTTGTTGCAATGACTGTTGTGGCACAAAATCACATTCGAAGCAAGCGCTCAGCTTAATTGCACGCGCACAAATTCCAACGTTGATGAACAGAGTCACCACTAGCATGGCGTAGAAATGAACCGTGCTGCAAGAAACGTCTAAGATGTCCACTAAAGTCACTCAAACTCTACCCATCCAGAAAAATGACTAGAGTTTACCACACGACCAGCGCAGCAAAGTCTGCCAGTCAACATTGCTAAGTTGGGGTTGGAGGGGAAGCTTGTAAACCGAGAAACACGTCCGGTGAGCTGTTCAAAGCGGCTTGAGGTCAGGACCTTCTTCCTGCAACCCACATAGACCTGGCAAGATGCGGCTTCAAGAACACCACACGCTCAACAGCGGGTCGCTGCGGCTTGCTCAAAAGCATGCACTCGTTCCAAAAAAAACGTTTCGTTGTCTCAAACTGGACGACGCCACCAATGACACGGTGAAATCACATCCCTTTTCTTCCTCTAGGTCAAGCGGTCCTTGACTTTGCGGGCCTGAAGAGGCTTCAACCCCAGCTCAGACACTAGGTCGGTTTCAGATAAAGATGCCAGCATGCGGCCATCCACTGCGTTGTCTCGAAAGGCCGCCACAACATGCCCCAACTCCAAATCCGCAATGTAGGTACAGACGTCGTCCACAGTCCAAGACAAGCACATCATTCTTTTGGGCTCGGGCGTTTCACCTGAAGGCGTGGCCCCCCTTTTCGCAGCTTCAGAGCGCAAAACGCGCGTCTGCAGCCCTGGGCCCAAGATGAAATGGGCGAAACAAGAGCCGCAGCCTTTGGCGACATGGCTGGGAATTGTAACTTTCTGCTTGAACTCAAACAATTTCAAGCGTTTTACCATCATGTCCAAGTCGCCTTGCTTCAGCTTCCCCTTCAAAGCATGCAGGTCTGATTGCAGTGTGGTTATGAAGAGTGGGTCATCCTTGACATAGCGAAGGTGTCCTGAGTAGAGGTTCTGTGGCCTCGCAATGACAAAGCTGGCGCCTTCAAACCAAAGGAGTTGGACCGCCCAAGAAACAATTTCCTCATTGAACCTCCAATCGTCCAGCCAAACCATTCTTGCCTTCTCAAGGCCAAGTAGGGGAAAGGCACTCTTGGGCGGAGTCACAAAAACATTGTCCTCGCCAAACACCAACGGCAAAGGGCGGAACAAGAAGCTTTTGCCTTCGTTTCCTTCAAAACCTGCGTGGCACACAAGAGTGCCTTTCGAACGCCCACCCACAAGCGAATCTCTCACAGCCTTGCGCCACTCAACTGGGTCGTGGCCGTTTTGCGAGAGGATGGCGTCAGCAAAGCAGGCCCACTGGCCCGTGCAAGTGCATGGAGCGCTGCAAGCTCCTTCCAGGATCTCCAGCCGACTCTGCGAAGCTGCTGCCACTAAGTCCTCAACTTTTTCCGTCTTCCACGATTTGGCAACAATGCCCGGAAGCTTGTCCCAGTTGGCAGAGCAAAACTCCACCAACGCTTGGCCACCGCTGCGCTTGGCATAGGCCATCAACTTTTCTGCGCAAACCTCATCGGGCAAAATGTTCTCCCTAACAATGATGGGCCACAAGTCCACTTCTCGCACGCGCTGCTCTGCCTTGCCTTTGCCTGCGCGCTTGCGCCTTTGGTCCTCCCGATGCGCTTCCAGCTTCTGCGCACTCACTGACCCTCTGCTCGCTTCAGACAAAGGCGGGTGGTTTGAAGGCCACAGCTCCGGCGTTGGATCCAATTCCTCCACCGCCTTAGTGGGCGAAGGCAAATAGCAATACGCAATGCACCCTGCATACCCGTCTGTTTTTCCAGACCAATGGCTGGCTAACCCGTGCGCAGCCAGCAAATGGCGCTTCAGGGGTGCGAAGCGAAAACACTTGTCAGCTGACAGGGCAACGTGATAGTGAATTTGTCCCGTCGCATGGCGCTCCTGAAACACAGCCATGCTTGTAAAAGCAAGAGGCTGGTCTCTGTTTGCTTGTGTGGAGAGAAGGGCGCCCAAGAAAAAGTCTCTGACCTCCATGCGCGTGTAAGTGCCTGGAGGTACCAACTTCTGCCCGTCAGCGCCCTCTTCTTTGTCTGTGTGTGACAAAGTGACCAAGTAAGCCCTCCTCGGGTTCTTTGACTCCACACCAAGCTCTTCGCAACAGCTTGACGGCTGGCTTGATTTCTTGGCGTCAAGAGACTCCACGACTTCTTGAATCAAGATATTGATTTCATCTTTCCGTGCCTCCAATCCATCCCGTTCCAACCCGCAGGCAGCTGCGATTTTAGCTCTGCACTCTTTGACGCTGCATTGGTGGAGGTCAAGGTTGTTCACCAATTGCGTCGCTACCTGCCGCAAGGTGTCGGCATCGGGAGATATGGAACTAGCAGCATCTTCTGGCCGGGCCGCTTCTGGCAATGGTGGGCCATCCATGCGCTGCGCGCTGCAGCTGCAACTAGGATGCTACTGCTAAACCCTGTCACTTGCACGCCCGCTTTGAGACCAGAAAACCGAAGAAGCCCTGCTGGGTCCGCTGCAAAAACAAAAGACATCCGAGCACCGAAGTTCCCCGTCCACGGACAAGCGCCGAGCCTTTGAGAGAGTTATTCTGCTTCAAAAATAAAGCCGTACCTCAGCGTAGAACTTGCAGTATCACATTCGCATACTCGTGCTCAGGAGCCCATTTCACACATCAGGCGCACAATCTCTAGAAGTGTGAAAGTAAAACCTATCGAGACACCCAAGAACATCTCTGTACGTGGCAACAAACACAGCAGAAACAAAACTTCCTATTGCGCTGCTTTGCAAGCTGCCAGCTGGTAATTTTTCCAAACAGTTTACTGTTTGGGTTTCTATCTCAAAAAAGAGCTGGCCACACTGACTGGCCGCGCCCCTGAATTTTGTGGCTGGGCTCTGTGACCTGGCCTTGTCCTCCTCTTGTCCTGCTCTTCTCTTGTCTTCTCTTATGGCCAAACAATTTGCCGGCGTACATCATATCATATCAGTTTTGTGGACCTTTGAACGTTGGTGGACACGCGTGAAGCGCGCTGTCTCCAACCGAGCTTCCGGCTGCGCCCAACAATTCGCGCCGACAAAAAGCCACAACAAACTTCACACGTCTAAGATGTCAACTAGAGTCACTCAAACTCTACCCATCCAGAAAAA